TTATTTAAATAATAAATAATTAGAAAGGAAGGGGATTCTGTTATAACTTTTTTAATGTTATTTTATATATTTTTATTCTTCTCTTCTCCATTTTTTTTTCTCGAACCAATCAGCAATAAAAGGTGAAATGAAGCTTTTATTTGACATTAAGGTTAGGAGAGACTGGAGGTCCACTCATTTAGGTTTGTATGTTCTTTTTCCAACCAAAATTTCAGATGGTTGGTGCTTTTAAATTTTGATTTTTGAATTAAAAAAAAAAAAAATCTCTACCTACATGGTCTTTTGTAAAGCCTAAGACATGAGTACAACTTCGTCAAATCTCTCTCCCTCTCTCTCTCTCTCTCTTTTTTTTTTTGCTATAATCATGCCTAGTAGGTTTTTTGTATTTAGGCAGAGGAAAATAGAGAAAAAAAAAAGAATTATATTTATTTTTTATTATATTTAAATAAATAATTTAATTAAAAAAATAAATAGATAAACTTTTATCCTCTTCTCCCTTCTAAATTTTTATAATTAAATAAAAAACATTTTCTTTCCCTCTTCTTCCCTTCACTTTATTTTTTTCCAATTCAAATATATTAATAATGTTCTTATTTTTGGCTATTATGTAAATAATAAGTAAACTTTTTAACGTTGACTTTAATTCTTATTTCAAAAATTCATAAATGTATCTTATAAACATTTTACTGATGCTCTGCTATTAAAATCTAGAAACGAAAACTTATAATTTTGAAATTATTAGTTCAACTTTCGCAAATAACTATAATAATATGTAAAATATTGTTAAAACTTAAATAATTTTATAGTAATTTTTTTATAAAAATTTTAAATTTTAAATTTAAATTATATGATATATTAATATATTGAATTAAGGAAAATAAAAAAATTATCTTTAATTTTTTTTTTTTGAACAAGATTCCAATTTTGAAGGTGAGGGAAATTGAACTTTCGAGTTGAGGAATGTACTTTATAAGTCGACTTATGATCATTGGATAATGAGGTTCATATGCAAAAACTATCTTTAATTATATAATTTAAAATAAAAAAATAAAATATATCAGTACGGTAGACATTTGCATATACTTATACTTCATATCAAAGAAAAAAAAAATTTGTGTCTATAAAAGCCAAAAAGAGAGAGAGAGAGAGAAAAAGAAAAGACACTTTTTATATATACTGTGGAGTCGTGAATAACATTCAAGTGCTAATCCTACTTTTTCGACAAGGACGGCCGTGGTCTGGCAGATGTTGCCACC